CAACATCATCAACATCAACTTCAACAACGTCCACAACAACTTCAACAACATCAGCAGCATCAACAACAACAGCAATACCGAGTGAGTACTATGTTAAATGATTTGTAATGACTCAAAGGATGACTACTACAAGTGATGAATTCTAAAATTTTTGATTTTGACTACTGAATGATCACCATCTAAATAGACAACATTAGAGAACATTTCCTATCAGAAGTTGAAATAGGGCCAGTTTTTGATGATTTAGTTTGATGTACATCCAATTAAGTATTGAATATTCTTGTCCTGTCCAAGAGTATTAGACGAAAACATTGGTGATAAAAAAGATTTTCATGTAATAGAAGTCATTGATCATTTTAGTAATTACTCACATTTACCCACTTTCGAGATTGTTTGAATAATTCTATACTTTGAAGTACTAGTTGTCAAAATATCGACATGAGACATGTCTACCAACACCTTATCTCATGTTTTTAGATCGCATTTGTATAGAGTTGAATAATTCAAAAAAAAATATTGCAGTAGTATAAAATACAAACTTTAAACTCGAGAAAAATGCCTTTCACCATTATCATCAATTAACCCTTCGTATATTGATCTTCTCATAAGAACGATACGAGAATTAGATTCCCTTACTCACAGTCACATCCATTCTTACCTACATCCAAGTTGATGAAATTACATCTTGTTTTCACTATGTTGAACAATGTAGAATGACATCCACTTAAATTCTGAAACTCGATCATTGTTGATCATAACTGAATTATAGGATAAAGTTTGTTTCGTCAGTTTGTAACATCCATAGGACTCGAAAAATATCAATGAAATCGTTTATAACATATTTTTTACTTACTTGGTTTAATATTTCATTATGAATCTTAACTTAATCATAAAAATAAAGAGAGATCTATCGAAGCTTTCAAATCATTTAATCTGTCGTAAATAGATAGACAACTTATGTACATGAGACATCCGAAATCATTTTAAAAATAACATTTTCTACTCACTTTTCTACCTTACATAGAATGGACACTCACAGGAAACATGAATTTTGCACGAATTTATCACACAGCATCTACATTAGCAAATGGATCAGTATTAGTTGCTGGTGGACAGAACAATACTTATCTCAATAGTGCTGAATTGTACAATCCATTAACAGGCACTTGGACAACCACAGGAAGCATGAGTGCCGCACGAGAACAACACACAGCAACCATATTAGCAAATGGATTAGTATTAGTTGCTGGTGGCCACAGCAGTAATCCTCTCAATAGTGCTGAATTGTATAATTCATCAACAGGCACTTGGATAACTACAGGAAGCATGAATACCGTACGAATGTATCACACAGCATCCACACTAGCAAATGGATTAGTATTAGTTATTGGTGGATATGGTAGTACTAATTATCTCACTAGTGCTGAATTGTACAATTCATCAACAGGTACCTGGACAACCACAGGAAACATGAGTTTCGCACGAGCATTTCCCACAGCATCCATATTAGCAAATGGATCAGTATTAGTTACTGGTGGACAAAGTATCGGTGGTGCTCCTCTCAATAGTGCTGAATTGTACAATCCATTAACAGGCACTTGGACAGCTACAGGAAGCATGAGTTCCGCACGAGAATATCACACAGCATCTACATTAGCAAATGGATCAGTATTAGTCGCTGGCGGAGACAACGGTACTAGTTTTCCCAATAGTGCTGAATTGTATAATCCATCAACGGGTGCTTGGGCAACTACAGGAAGCATGAGCTTCGCACGAGAATATCACACAGCATCCACATTAGCAAATGGATTTGTATTAGTTGCTGGTGGAGCGAATATCAATAGTGAAATCAATAGTGCTGAATTGTATAATCCATTAACAGGCACTTGGACAACCACAGCAAACCCGAGTACCATACGACAATGGCACGCAGCATCGATATTAGCAAATGGAAAAGTATTAGTTACTGGCGGATATGGTACTACTTATCTCAATAGTGCTGAGCTATATTAATTAGTATAGACAGAATGATATTTTCTTTTGTGAACTAAATCATAATTTTTTTTTTATATAATCAAACTATTTAATCATTCACATTTCTTAATAAATTATCATTCACCAAATAATACATGAGTTGCAGTAATATCTCCAAGTCATACTGTATAGCGGTTATTGAAAAAGAGTCATAATTGATAAAAGACAGAACATTATTTGTACAACTAAGTGAATATAAATACAGATGGGAAGAATATTAATCATTCGCTGCTTCCAACCACATGTATTCGGATGATAACGTATGAATAATTGTTCTCAAGTGATTATCAGATATGAACAATTCAATAATATATTCAAACAAATCAGCTTTGTTCCACCTACCCTCTTTTTTTGCCAAATAATTTGATCAACTCAACCACTGTATTTTAGAAGGTGAATATATTTTATGTTCTTATTATGTGCATAATTTTATAAAACAGATGATAGTCGCGACAAAGAACAAAGTATATTATGGAAAAACTACTACTTATTTCTGACTAAATCAATAAAAACAAAATAGAGTTTATATTATTGAAAGTAAAAAGAGACGAGTAAAGATGGGTGTAGATGTTGATGTATCTTTGTTCCACTTTCACCGACATCCACACTTTGATTAGTTTATGTGTCCAAATTTCTTCTTTTTTCCTGTCTTTGAAACAATAATTTCGGCGATATTGGCGCGTTCAAAATAATTTTTTTAAATTCCGATTCATATCAATGACTACATTAACTGAATCTAATTATACTCGTCGTAATTATATATCTAGTCGTCTAATAATTCTCTCATTAAACATTCATATAGAGTTAAATAATGGTCGTTTTTCTTTATCATTTTCCGATGAAATTCGAAAACAATCTGATCTTAGTTTAATTTCATCAACATTTTCGAATTCATTAATCGATGAATTATTTACATGTATCGAATATTATTGTAATGAAATCAATAAATTAATAGATGAATTACGTTTAATTAATACCAATTCTTATCAAATACTTGATGATCTATCTAAAGGTTCTCAAATATGTTTAAATGTTTTATATAATTATCATCATGATCGAATTTCAGTTGTTCAATCTCTGTTATCAAATCCATTTCGTGAAGATGCTTGGCATTTTGTATATGAAATTGATTCAAATATTTTTAGTAAATGTCGAATAATATTAATACGTTTACGAATTTATTTTCTATTACTGCATCAATTCCTAACAAATGATAAAACTCGAACTTAGATTTTAAAATGTAATTTTATTTATGATAGAAAAAAATAGTTGAATTACGAATGAATAATAGATGAGACAAGAACAAAAAAAAGTGAATTATAAACAAAAAAAAAAAAAATGAAAATTAGACAATCATACCATACAAGATTCACACGATTCAAAAACGCATCAGCAACTGTCGGTGTTTATGTTTGTTTTTTTTTCGTGATAATATGTAAGAAAAAAAAGTAAAAGAACAAAAAAAAGAAAAGAAAAAAAAAGAGAAGAAGCAGCAATAGCATCTAGTGAATGATTTTCTCTCACAAAAGTGAACAAGCAGATATTGATAGATAATTAATAAACTAATCTAACGTCAGTTGCTTATTCATTCCGGTCTTTGGCTGTATCTAATTAGTTTTTTTTAGTCGGAACAAATAGATTTTTCCTGAGAGAGAAAAACATGTATATATAAAAAAAATTGAACTGTAATAATTAATGTTCGCACAAATAAAGATAAAAAATACACACACACACACGGAAGAATCATTCAAATGACGTTCATTCACAAAGAACAATCTGACATTCACCACATACATATATATGTTTCTTCTTCTTCTTCTATTGATGACGATTTGAAGATCGTGTTGGTAGTTGAGTACGACCTATATCCGATAGTGGTGAATCCTGACCACCAGCTGAATCATTATCATCTTCTTCATCACTATATTGCCTATTTTAAATACGAAAAATAAATAAATCAATAAATCAAGTATTTTTTGTTATTACCCCTGATTATTTCCAGTTTTTTTCTTAGCAGCACTTTTTTGTTTAACTTGTTTGACTGATGTTCGATTACGTTGAACAATTTGTGATTGTCCATTTAAACGATTTTGTTGTAGAATAACATTTTGTGTTGAACCAAAACCTGAATTTGGACTTATAGAACCAGGTGTTGTATAATCAGCTAATATACCAGATGATGATAATGATTGTGATGGACGAATTGGTGTTGCCATAACAAGATCATTCAATGATGTTGAACCCCATCGACGATTATGTTCATTGATATTATTTAAATTTTCATTATCACTTAATGTTCGTTGTGTATTATTGCGTCGTATATCATTGTTTGATATTATTGGTGGTGATACAAGATGACGTAATGATGAATTTACTGTTGTTGGTGTTGTTGTCATTTCTTGTTCATATTGAGATGGTACATGTTGAAAACCAGTTGATGAATAACGTTTAGAATATTCATTTGCATTTTGTGATAGATGTTTACGTCGATTTGTTGTTGATGTTGGTTTAGAAAAATCATATGTGGTTGTTGTTGTTGGAATATTATTACCTGAACGATCATTTAAATAATCTCCATTTGTTTGTATATCAAGATTATTATAAAGTGCATCAATTTGATCAATAGTTTCATTGAACCCAGTTGTATTATTTGATTGTCGAGAATATCGATTAACAATTCGATTAACTTGATCAAATTGATCATTATTGATTTGTTGTTGTTGTTGATGATTTATATTATGTTGTTTTGGACGATAATGTGATGGAAGTTTTGATATACTTTCATTATTTTTATAACGACGTGCGTGTGATGATGATGGTGTATTTGATGATTGAGAATTTTGATTTAAATTGACAGCAGCACCACTTGATTGTTCATCACTTGAATAGTTTGTATTGAGACCTTGAGAACGTAATTCATCCGAACTAAAATAACCTGATGAACGATTTAATGAACGATCTGATGAATGAAAATCACTATTAATCACAACAGTATTTCCTGGACGTGCAGCAATATTTTGTATTGAAACACGACCATCTTTAGATGTTGTTACAATTGCACGTGTTGATTGATCAAGTGCAACAACAGTTGGTTGTTCTGGATGTTGTGGTGGACGTTTTTCAATTTCAATTTCAAATTCTATATTTGAACCGAATAGATTACCAAGACTTCCTGTACGATGTTGTACTTGACGACGATATGCTGATCCTGAATTAGGAGAATAGGGATATTCATTTTGTTCCTGTTGCTGTTCTTGTTCGTGTAAAGCAGAATGGTATGATGATGAACGTGTATGTACACCTAATGGAGACGAATATTCATTCGTAGTTTCATACGGACCTAAAAGAAAATAAGAGAAATAAAAAACAAATGAATTTTATAATATGATACAACGTATATATATAATTCTCATTAATACCGATAGATAGAAAAGGACATTAGTACACGCAGAAGCTTAAAGAATGAACACAAATGTTTATATTTGCTTGGGCCCAATAAAAGGGTAGCACAAGGAAATAAAACGTGAACCTGATCTTGCTATTAAGGACAAAATCGACGTAAAAAAAGAAAATTATTTGTAGAGACAAAAATTTCAATATTTCCTATTATTCATATAACTCACCAGCTCGTGGACGACTTTGTCTTTGTTGATAATCTTGTGTTATTGGTGGTGGACGATAACTTGATGCTTGAACACGTTGATAATGTAGTTTTGAACGTTGTTGCTTTTGTTCCTCTTCTTCTTGTTTTGCTCGTATATAAAGTTCAGGTTCACTTGTACCATGTCTTATTGATGAAGTTATTGATGGACTTGGTCTTATATTATTTCCATTTGATAATTCAGGTACACGAACAATTGCAATAATTTGATTTTGTGAATATTTACCAAATGTAACTTGACTTTGTGGACTTAATGATGTGACTTCGACGGAACGTGGACCTGCACTTAATGTACGAATATTGGAACGTGATGATGGACTATGACGTAAACTATCTTGTGAACGATCACGTTGAATTGGTTTAAACCATGTTTCTTCGACACGTGCTGGTTCTTCTTCTTGTATAAATGTTGATGGTGGTATTGGATATGATATAACATCAGATTGTGGAGAATCATAACGATGTTGATGAATACCACTTTCACGATATGTTTGTGTTTGTTGACGAATTTCATTTGTTGGTGTATAAGCGGAATCAGGTCGAGAACGAATTGCAATTGGTGAATCTTAAAATAAAATATAAAAATGAAATTTTTCAAAAAAAAAACAAATTTTACCATTAGATTTTGTTGAATCATAATATTGTGGACGTTCATTTAATAAAACTCGTTTTGATGGTGTTATTAGACGATTAACTTCATCTGATGAACTTTCAGGTGAACGTATTGTTGGTGCAGCAGTTGTTGTTGTTGTAGTTGTTGTTGTAGTAATAATCTTTTTTGGTGCATGTGGACTACCTGTTCGTTCAGTTTTAGTTGTTGATTCTTTAATTTCATGTGTACGTTGTACTTGACATTCAACACGTGTTTCAGTTTCAATTGTTTCAATTTCATCAACAACTAATGGTTTTGGTCTTATTGTTCGTGATTCTGTTGTGACTGGAACTTTTCGTTGAGAACTTATTCCACTATGATAATTTGCAATATTTTCATATTCAGATGCTGGAGAACGTGTAGTTTGACGTCGAATATTACGTTGTTGCTGTTGTTGTTGATATAATTGATCATTAGAAATAATTTCTGTATCATATTTAAATGTTGATCGTGAAACTGAATCATCACCACCATGAATTGTTGTTTGATCTGTATCAGAAGCTTGTCGTCGACCATTACGTTGACTTCCAATGGAATCAACATAAACACCACTATCACGAACTGTTTGTGTGCGATTAGCATCCTCTAGGACTGATGATGAAGCATTATAACGCCATGATGATGATGAACCTGTTGGTTGATGATGACTTGTAGCTGTTGAATGTTCAAATATACCTGAATCAGAACCAGCTACAGATTTATGTGTATCACGATTTGCTTTTGTTGTTGTACTTGTTATTGGTGTTTCATGAGATATATGTGGTGAAAGTTCAATTAAAAGACCTTTACCTTTGCTTGTTGGTACATGTGAAAGAATATTTTCCATATTTGTTTCAGTAAATGATGATTTTGTTCGTTGATTAAGATATGTTGTATCAGCGGGTTGTGGTGTACTTTGTGAAAAATCTCGTAAACGTGTTGCAGATGTACGTCGTCGTGCATTGTAATGTTGGTCTTGTTTATTTGTTGGATCACTTAATTCATCTTCACTTTCATGACCATCATCATCACGATATTGTTTTGTTGATTTGGGTGTACTCTGATGAATAGGTGGTGATGCACCACTTAAATCAGAATCAATTGATGATATGGTTCGTTTATCTTTAATAGTTATATCAACTTTCGTATGAGAAGTTGGTAATGGTTCTGTTTGTTTGCTTGTTGAAGATTCAAGAGTCGATTTAATAGTACTAACACGTGATGGACCAGTATGAGTTTCACTGATGCGACGATCATTTGATTGATATTCATCGATCTAATGAAATTTAAATTATATATATATATTGATATATAAAAAAACAATTCTTAATTAGATATTCTCAAGGATATCTTTTTTGATTTGTGTATTCTTACCTGAAAGATAGATAATTTTCCTTTAAAAAATTTACATTTTCCTTTCTCATGTATCATTTTCGTTTTTCTCGTTAAGATTCGTCGTGATTAAATGATATGTCTCTATGTGTGTGTGTGTGTG